CAATTCTGCAATCGACCAATATCTGCAAGGCAGTCACCATGTTGTTTACTGATGGATGTCGATTTCGCTACGCCATTTTTGACTGGACTGTGCATGGACAAATTAGTCCAGCCAAAATATAACTCAGAAATTCCAGCCTAGTTCAGCAAAGGTGGAAACTGGAGTGGACTCAGTAAATTCCCTTGCCATGGGTATGACACTACCAGACTACTAGGGGATCAAACCACCAACCTTCTGCTCTCCGGGCAGACGCTCTATCCACTATAGGAAAAAGGTGATTTTATCGGAGGAAACCCTGATCACATGGTTAATCTGACTGATAACGATATTGATCAGGTTGTGCAAAATTTATTGCTGAAAGTCTGCTGACACTTGGCTGAGTCCCCAAAGCTAAAGGTCACAGGTCAGGGTGTAACAATTGATCGAATTGTTATTGGGGTACCAGGTATTACTAGGGCACCAGGTATTACTGGGGTATCAGGTGTTACTGGGGTACCGGGTGTTACTGGGGTACCAGGTATTACTGGCATAGGTATTACTGGCATACTAGGTATTACTGGAGTACCAGGTATTACTGGGGTACCAGGTATTACTGGGGTATCAGGTATTACTGGGGTACCAGGTTTTACTGGGGTACCAGGTATTACTGGGGCACCAGGTTTTACTGGGGTACCAGGTATTACTGGCATACCAGGTTTTACTGGGGTACCAGGTTTTAATGGGGTACCGGGTGTTACTGAGGTACCAGGTATGACTGGGGTATCAGGTATTACTGGGGTACCAGGTTTTACTGGGGTACCAGGTTTTACTGGGGTACCAGGTATTACTGGCATACTAGGTATTACTGGAGTACCAGGTATAACTGGGGTACCAGGTATTACTGGGGTATCAGGTATTACTGGGGTATGAGGTTTTACTGGGGTACCAGGTATTACTGGGGTACCAGGTTTTACTGGGGTACCAGGTTTCAATGGGGTACCAGGTATTACTGGGGTACCGGGTGTTACTGAGGTACCAGGTATTACTGGGGTATCAGGTATTACTGGGGTACCAGGTTTTACTGGGGTACCAGGTATTACTGGGGTACCGGGTGTTACTGGGGTACCAGGTATTACTTAAGTACCAGGTATTACTGGGGTATCAGGTATTACTGGGGTACCAGGTATTACTTGGGTACCAGGTATGACTGGGGTATCAGGTATTACTGGGGTACCAGGTTTTACTGGGGTACCAGGTTTTACTGGGGTACCAGGTATTACTGGGGTACCGGGTGTTACTGGGGTACCAGGTATTACTTGAGTACCAGGTATTACTTGGGTACCAGGCATTACTGGGGTATCAGGTATTACTGGGGTACCAGGTATTACTGGGGTACCAGGTATTACTGGGGTATCAGGTATTACTGGGGTACCAGGTATGACTGGCGTACCAGGTATTACTGGGGTACCAGGTATTACTGGGGTACCAGGTATTACTGGGGTATCAGGTATTACTGAGGTACCAGGTATTACTGGCATACCAGGTATTACTGGGGCACAAGGTATTACTGAGGTACCAGGTATTACTGGAGTATGAGGTATTACTGAGGTACCAGGTATTACTGGGGTATCAGGTATTACTGGAGTATGAGGTATTACTGGCATACCAGGTATTACTCGGGTACCAGGTATAATTTGGGCACCAGGTATTACTGAGGTACCAGGTATTACTGGGGTACCAGGTATTACTGAGGTACCAGGTATTACTGGGGTACCAGGTATTACTGGGGTACAAGGTATTACTGAGGTAACAGGTATTACTGAGGTACCAGGTATTACTGGGGTATCAGGTATTACTGGAGTACCAGGTATAACTGGGGTACGAGGTATTACTGGGGTACCAGGTATTACTGGGGTACCAGGTATTACACCGGTACCAGGTATTACACCGGTACCAGGTATTAGTTGAGTACCAGGTATTACTGGGGTATCAGGTATTACTGGGGTACCAGGTGTTACTGGGGTACCAGGTATTACTGAGGTACCAGGTATTACTGGGGTACCAGGTATTACTGGGGTACCAGGTATTACTGGGGTACCAGGTACCAGGTATAACTGAGGTACCAGGTATTACTGGGGTACCAGGTATTACTGGGGTACCAGGTGTTACTGGGGTACCGGGTATTACTGGGGTACCCGGTATTACTGGGGTACCAGGTATTACTGGCATACTAGGTATTACTGGAGTACCAGGTATTACTTGGGTACCAGGTATTACTGGGGTACCAGTTTTACTGGGGTACCAGGTATTACTGGTGTACCAGGTATTACTGGGGTACCAGGTATTACTGGGGTACCAGGTATTACTCGGGTACCAGGTGTAACTGGGGTACCAGGTATTACTGGGGTACCAGGTATAACTTGGGTACCAGGTATTACTCGGGTACCAGGTGTAACTGGGGTACCAGGTATTACTGGGGTACCAGGTATTACGGGGGTACCAGGTATTACTGGGGTACCAGGTTTTACAGGGGTACCAGGTATTACTGGGGTACCAGGTATTACTGGGGTACCAGGTTTTACTGGCCTACCAGGTATTACTGGGGTACCAGGTATTACTGGGGTACCAGGTATTAATGAGGTACCAGGTATTACTGGTGTACCACTGGGGTACCAACAAAAAACAAATACAAACTATGTCACATGCTTCTTTTAGAAAGGGATGTCCTTGTTTGATTTGAAACTTTGTGATTGAGTAGAGAAACTATGACAAATCTGAAAATGGACTATTTCTTATTAAAAGATATCTCAAGAGATTTGCATGTCTTGACATTAATACATGCAATAAATAAACACTCAACCAATGAGCAATACATTCTTGTTTTAACTTTAATAGACAGTCCTACTCTAAATCCGCAAAAGTAAATACACCTTAAATGTCTAAACAGTGTTATTGATTTCAACATACATTAAAAATAAATTTTTGTTTATTTTTAAAAATAATATTATTTTGAAAGATTTTTTATAAATCTTAAATTGAACTAAGAAAAAATTATATACTAATTACTTTCTATTTATTGCCTCTTGGTACATTGACCAAGGAAATATGTAAACTAAAAAAGCTTGAGATAATTAAATATTTCTGTTGTCCAAAAGATGAGTACAGATTTTCTTTTAAAAATCCAGGTTGGCATGTGGGAAGTAAGTCATGATGATAATACGATTTTTTTTTAAATATATAAACATTCCAATGATGTTTTGTGTTTTTCAAAAGTTATCCAAAGTTATTTCGTATTGTATCAGGGTGTGAGGTGAGGATTCCTTGAGGTGTGTGTGGTATTTGAATCTGGGCACCCCCAAATCCTTTAGTTTAAGGGTAACCGGAGGAGTTTCACCACAAGGGGTCAACATGAATTGGGAGATATTTAATTCCAATACTGACATTTGCTGCAGACTTGGGGCCAAAAATCATCATCTGAGCATCTGAGCAGGTCTAGATACGCCCCCCACCACCCCCCACCCCAATAGTTCACTAGTTTCACGAAATAAAACTGTTTGTTACTGTTAGATTGGCATTGTAGAAGTTGATAAGAAAATAACAAAACACAACTTTATGGATAACAACTTCTGGTTTATCAAATGTTATCTTTTCGATATCACATTTTATTTAGTAAAGTACAGACTCTCGTAGGGTTGAGTCCCATCTGGGATTCGAACCAATAAGAGTGAGGCATCTAATCGCCAGCTCACAAAGTCAAATTCCGACTGGTAGTCCATATCACATACTTTGTGTACACCCCTGACAACTTCTGGTTCATTGCACATAGCGGCGCCATGAAATGCAAAAAAACAGCAGTTGCTATCCATAAAGTTGTAGTTCTTCTCAGAGTTGATTCTAGCTTTCTATGCAGCAAGCACAACCCTGGCACAATCTCATTAAAACCAGGTCTTAGTTCTTTCTATCGCAAAACAATGATCTGAGGACATTCCATTATTGGTCATGTCAGACCGACCTTTCATCGGACCAATCAAAGCGTGTCTTGCCAGATAATGAAAGTGACAGTCGGACTGTTTTCTAATCATGAAGCATGGAAAATTTAACACTGGGTATTCCGAACGACTGATCCCGTCAAAATTATCATCAATCTCTCGCTTCTGCAGGATAAACATTTGAACGGAGGAAGCGAGGCACTGCCATACAATTAGACATTCCTGAATGTTTGTTTGTTTTAACATTAATCGAGAACTGTGTCAACATATTTTTCAAGCGTAGTCTGAAATGGAAGTCGCAAGGTTGAAACGAGTGCCATAAAGCTCAATAAAGCTTAAAAGTCAAAAAATCGATTGTTAAATCAGTTTCCGATCAATAGTATCGATTTTAGTTAGGAATATTAATAGATTTGATTGCATAAATTTACAATATCTCGCAATTGAGTAGCAAAACACGCTCGTGAATACAGCCGAGTGAGATTAGAGTTAACTGCCCTTGATGCTTAGCAACCGGTCTTTCTTTCAGTAAAATCGCGGAAGGTGACAGTCAAGAAGAGTTTGTGGCAAACTTGGGTGGAAAATCAAGTGTTTGGAAGTGTGTTATCACATTCAAAGGAAACTTCATTTCCAAGGTTTAATTCAACTCTAAAATCCATCTAAAATGATACACTGAAAACTATCGATATTTATCGCAATAGTTGCTTGCAATATCAATAGTTATCACAATAGTTTCATTCAGTATCAATAGTTATCGCAATAGTTATTTCCAGACAAATAGTCACCCCTACTTTCTAACTGGCTGATGTCGACTTCTTGTTAGTCGTTTCAGTGGTCGGTCAAAGTTTGTGAAAGGTCGTTCTGACGTGACCCGTAATCATGGTAATGGGATGTCGTCAGATCTTTGTTTAGGGGCAGCAAGAACTTCAGTCTGATTTTAATGAGATTGGACCCTGGCAAGGCATCTGTGTGTCTAGAGAAACTAGTGCATCAGTGTGTGACTGCCGCTCTGTGCAAAGCGTGGCAAGCTATTACCTGGAAGAGTGTGTGAGGTGTCTATTTGTTCGACAGGTGTTAATCCATTCTCACCTGACTTCTCAATAACATCCACCTGATTGATGTATGTCGGAGATGATTTACCTGAAAAAAGTCACAATGTTGAAAGTATATAACACAAGCATTGTTTGTAAACATCACATTGTTTGTAAATGTCACAAGCATTGTTTGTAAACGTCACATTGTCTGTAAATGTCACAAGCATTGTTTGTAAACGTCACATTGTTTGTAAACGTCACATTGTTGGTAAATGTCACATTGTTGGTAAATGTCACAAGCATTGTTTGTAAGCGTCACATTGTTTGTAAATGTCACAAGCATTGTTTGTAAACGTCACATTGTTTGTAAATGTCACAAGCATTGTAAATGTCACAAGCATTGTTTGTAAATGTCACAAGAATTATTTGTAAATGTCACAAGCACTGTTTGTAAATGTCACATTGTTTGTAAATGTCACAAGCATTGTTTGTAAATGTCACATTGTAAAAGTCACAAGCATTGTTTGTAAATGTCACAAGCATTGTTTGTAAATGTCACATTGTAAATGTCACAAGCATTGTTTGTAAATGTCACAAGCATTGTTTGTAAACGTCACATTGTTTGTAAATGTCACAAGCATTGTTTGTAAACGTCACAAGCATTGTTTGTAAACGTCACATTGTAAATGTCACAAGCATTGTTTGTAAACGTCACAAGCATTGTTTGTAAATGTCGCAAGCATTGTTTGTAAACATCACATTGTTTGTAAATGTCACAAGCATTGTTTGTAAACGTCACAAGCATTGTTTGTAAACGTCACATTGTAAATGTCACAAGCATTGTTTGTAAACGTCACAAGCATTGTTTGTGAATGTCACAAGCATTGTTTGTAAATGTCGCAAGCATTGTTTGTAAACATCACATTGTTTGTAAATGTCACAAGCATTGTTTGTGAATGTCACAAGCATTGTTTGTAAATGTCACAAGCATTGTTTGTAAACATCACAAATATTGTTTGTAAACGTCACAAGCATTATTTGTAAACATCACAAGCATTGTTTTTAAATGTCACAAATATTGTTTGTAAACATGGTAAATGTCACAAGCATTGTTTGTAAATGTCACAAACATTGTAAATTAGGAGTCAAACGAAGGTCACGATACAGGTCAGAATACAATACATATCGCGATACTCATGTTCACGTCAAATGGCGTGGAAACTTCTGGAATATATATATTTCAGAGCAAGTTAATGAATCGTCATCCGAGTTACATATTGCCCAATACTTAAGGCATCATAACCACATAACCAGTTTTAAGGGTTTTTCTATGTTATCATTATAAGGACTAGTGGCTTAAAAATGTGAGTTTCTACTGCTGTTCATTGACATTCTAAAAATTGGTGAGTAAATAAGAAAACACAACCCCATGGATAATAACTTCTGCTTCTTTATCTTAGAAAGTGTATCATCTTGTATCGATAATGAAGAAAATGTATTGTGTATCGTATAATTTATGTTGGCATGATAACTCGCGATGCATCGTGTATGGGTGTATCGTTTCCCCCTTACTGTAAATGTCACAAGCAGTGTTTGCAAATGTCACAAACAATTTAGAGGTGGGCCGATTCCCACACAATGCAATTCAATTCGTTTATCAATTTTACATGACCGATTCAATTTGATTCAATCAATTCATGATTTGACTACTTCAGTTGGTATCACTTGTTTTATAACATTTTTTTTCAAACATTTGATTATTTATAAATTTGAATTAAAAGAAAGGTCCATCTTTTGTCTTACAGAATCATGTTGAACGAAAATAATTAAAAAAAACACCCTTTGTTTTCTGTTTTATTTGGTGTTCAGTTTCAGCATAACATGGCATAATGCAAGTGAATATTAACGGCCAAAATAACACTTCAGGTATGACGAGGCGGAACAGCACTTACCCGGTATGACATGACTTCAGGTACTACTTAACTCTTTCAACACCAGTCAACCAGAAGCGTTTACTGCTGTAACACCGAGTTCCAAAAGACTCTTGTGTGATAGATGAAGCCAACATTTATCAAAGAAAATATCTGCTTGTAAAACATCTTTGCTACTACAGTATATGTTATACACCATTTTAAAGGTCTGATCCTATTGTTTATAAATTTGAAATGTTTGTCATATTATTTAAATAATGCATTTACAACTTAATTAAGTATGTTGTAAATAAAAATATGTAAGCTAACACATTCATGATGTTCACATTAAGGGCCAAGGAATCAAAAATCCACTTACCTATTTCTTTTTTACTTTCATTGTTAACGTTATTGAAAAAGCATTTGAAAAAGAATTATAAAGAGTATCTGTCATCACCCATTTCCCGATAACAGCGGCTGTCCGCTCAGTAACATGAAGAAATACCCCTGTTTTCGAGGCTTCGTATGAACAACACATTCGTCAAAGACTGGCATATGACACATCACTAGAAAGCTTATTCTTTTATCTACATGCTCGTAATAACGCCTAGATTCTTTCCATAGTTAAAAAAAAATTCATTTGATAAAAATTGGTTTCTAATGACGTTTTCTTGCTGAAATCTGCTACAAGGTTCGTGATTGGTCAAATTTATGCACGTGACCTAAGGCAGCCAATCAAATTACAGCTAAGGTACCGTCCTCATGTATGATTGACTTCAGATTTTGACAAAAGGTTTTTGATAAATTGTGCTATTCTGAATGTTTTAAGCAGAAAATCGCGATCTATATTATAAATATTGAGCTTCGTGGATGTATCAAGCTAGGTTACGAGCTGTGATAAAGATTGTTAATGCATGTATTTTGGCATTAAACATTGTGTCCGAGCCGAGAACTCGATGTGACAAAAGCCGAGATGTCATTTGATTTACATTATACGAGATCGTAAAAAAAGAAGGAAATAATAACTTAGCTGTAAGTTTGACAACTTTAAGATATATTTTTGTTGATTTATTACTTTGTATACTATATTTAAATTTTTGCTTTTTGCTTGAAACGTCTTAATTTCGCTCTTTGACATGTTGACATGTGGACCCGTTGTGAAAGTGTGTCCGAGAATTATATTTTCAATAACATTGTTGGAAATATTGAATAGTTTTTTAATCTATTGATCAAAAATGATAAATTGGAATCGAATATGTAAAAAGTAAAATACTTATATCATTAACATAGAAATATTTTAAGCATGTTAAACTTGATAAGCATGAATTGTTTTACCGAATCGCTATGTAAGGAAATTAAAAAAGATTGATGTATTTGGGGATCGATTAATCGTCCCGCCTCTAACAAACCTGGTCACCTTTGTGAAACATGCCATTACAATTGCACAGATCTAATTCTGTCAAGGACCTGTGAAGGCCCTGGGTAGAATAGGTCTTCAACAACCCATGCTTGCTTTAAAAGACGACTATGCTCGTTTTAAATGGGGACTAACAGGATCGGGTGGTCAGGCTCACTGACTTAGTTGATGCATGTCATCAATCACATTTGCGTAGATTGAAGCTCATGATGTCAATCACTCGATTATCTGGTCCAGGCTGGATTATTTACCGACCGCCGTCATATAGCTAGAATATCGCTGAGTGTGGCGTTAAACAACAACCAAACAAAAGTTACGCCAAGGTAAACACATGTATCACAAATTGACCCTTGAGATAACAAAATCTGCAGAATGCTACGCATCCATGAAACGTTCGGATCCATGATGATAACAAGTTATTTTCATGATAGATACGTCCATACAAATTACAACCATTCTTTTAAATATTATGTTACAGTTTAACTGCATAAGGGTGCCGTAGCAATTTGTAAAACTTACCTTGCAATCTGACATACAACAAAACAATCAACTTTTCTTGGTATTAAACTACTTAAACACTGCCTCAGTTCTTTGTGCCGAGTACCTGAGTGACCCAGGCTCGGGTTATCATATGGTTTGAGTAATAGCCATATTGATTGGTTGACGGTTGCCTAGCAACCAGACAGTGGTGCCTATGTTTGTTCTGCCTATCTAAATGGAGAACCAGGATATGGAAAGAACATGTCAAGTGCTGTGTCAGCACAAACATGCACATTATTGACAATGCTGATCGTTCAAATTTCCTCAACATTTTGACTGTTATTACCATTAAGAGGTATGACACTAGAACCTATTACGAGATTTAGTCTTCTGAAATGATACCTTATTCAGAGTTGCTAACCGTGCTAACAATCCTCAAAAACATGGCAACACCCTAATCAATCTCATTCAAATCGGACGTTTTACTGGGACAGATCTAAGGACACCTATATCATGTCTAAAGATGATTGTGTCAATTGACAAACTCAGCAAATTTTGACCACCCAATTTAACTGAGGATTGTTTTACGTCCCTTTTAGCAATATTCCAGCAATATCATGCTAGAGGACACCAGAAATGGGCTCCACACATGTACCCATGTTGGGAATCGAAACCGGGCCTTTGGTGCGTCAAGCAAACGCTTTAACCACTAGGCTACCCCACCGCCCCAATTCAAATAATGGTGTGTGGCTTCTTTTTCATTTTTTTATGACCTCAACTCGGATATTTCAGTTATAAATGAAAACACAGAAAACACAAATAATCCCTCGCTATTACTCCATGTTGGGTGTAGATGCCAAGCCGCTCAGGAAAGACAGGATGTACTTAATACATACACAACATAATGAAGCAGCCCTTTTTTTCTACATTTCGGAACTGTCTTTTCAGTTCGTTTCCGAGATACAGACATCAGGCATGCTTGTCTGAATGGAGATCTATGCCAAAAAGTCATCTTAACTGGTTAGTTGATTAATTTGAAGCTCGTGAGCAAAAGAAATTACCATGTTAGGTCAGTGGTAAGAAATGGAGCCGGTCACTTCCGGTGACTTTGCTGGACACAATTACCGTCAAGACATTGTCATGAGAAAAAATGTTTAGGACAATCAGACAATGTCCTTGAAAAACTGACCAATCTGAAACCCTGCAATTTGAATACCAAGTTACGGCAGCGATAGAAACTAACATTTTTAGACCACTAGTCCTTATAAGGATAACATATACCGGTAACAAAACCCTTAATAATTTTTTACTAATCCTTATGAAACCTTAACTATAGGACTATAGGCAGGATAGGACAAGTGCCAATTTCTAAGTCTGATTATGGTGATGAATGTGTCCAGGGTAGTTAGTACAACAGAATGGATATAATGGTAAATACCATGGATAAAAGAGGATGAGATGACACAGATGCACCACCACCTACCTGATACAACTCCATTTTGATTTTCATTGACTTCTTTCGGTGTGTAGGACTTCAGTTCTGCCATTTTGTTTCAGTTTTCTCACGTCACCATAAATATCTGAAATGAAATCATACAATCACATTAGGGATAATCATTAGTTGGTTGGTTGGTTTGTTGTTTAACGCCGCTCGCAGCAATATTCCAGCTATATGACAACGGTCGGTAAATAATCGAGTCTGGACCAGAAAATCCAGTGATTAATATCATGAGCATCGATCCACGCATTTGGGATTGATGACATGCATCAACCAAGTCAGCGAGCCTGACCACCCGATCCTGTTAGTCGCCTTTTACGACAAGCATTGTCGCCTTTTACGGCAAGCATGGGTTGCTGAAGACCTATTCTACTCCGGATCTTCACGGGGCAGGTATAATTATTAAGCGCAATCTTACCTTTGTAATAGTCTCGTGGTATAGTTTCAAAATAACCCTCCAGTCAAACAACTGGTGCTGAAGTCACTGATCAAATAACCGTTTAATTTCACCTACACATTTTCGACTTTCATTCAAGAAACATCTAGATTTGATGATGACAAATGAAATATGAACATTAAAACGGATCGATTATGTTACTTTTATGTGTTCTTTCATGTTAATTCGTAGTATGTGATGGTTATTTATTTTTTCCTATTTTAATTGACCTATCATTTTAATGAAAACAAGCATGAAATACTCACATCCCCCGCCAATATGACATGTCGGGTATGTGCAATGCATTAGCTACTGTGAACTATGTCCACTGGGCCTTTTTGTAAAGAAATATAGTACGTTTTTCAAGATCTGCTCCGGAAACGAAGACTACCGCCATTTTCAGTCTAAATCAAAGTCGTTGCCATGGAAACTCGAAAAACAATTTTTTTTAAAATCCTAAACTATCAAAAGGCACCAGTTCACCACTAGACCTATCTATGTGCCAAGTTTGGTGAAGAAATATGGTACGGTTTTCAAGATCTGCTCCGGAAACGAGGACTACCGCCATTTTCAGTCTAAATCAAAGTCGGTGCCATGGAAACTCGAAAAATAACTTCTTTAAAAATCCCAAACTATCAAAAGGCACCAAGTCACCACTAGATCTATCTATGTGCCAAGTTTGGTGAAGAAATATGGTACGGTTTTCAAGATCTGCTCCGGAAACGTGGACTACCGCCATTTTCAGTCTAAATCAAAGTCGGTGCCATGGAAACTCGAAAAATAACTTCTTTAAAAATCCCAAACTATCAAAAGGCACCAAGTCACCACTAGATCTATCTATGTGCCAAGTTTGGTGAAGAAATATGGTACGGTTTTCAAGATCTGCTCCGGAAACGAGGACTACCGCCATTTTCAGTCTAAATCAAAGTCGTTGCCATGGAAACTAAAAAAATAAATTTTTTAAAAATCCCAAACTATCAAAAGGCACAAGTTCACCACTAGATCTATCTATGTGCCAAGTTTGGTGAAGAAATATGGTACGGTTTTCAAGATCTGCTCCGGACTGACAGACGGACTCCACCCAATCCTATATCCCCCTTCCACTTCGTGGCGGGGGATAATAATTGTGAGAGCGCAGTTTGCAAAGGATACAAAGTATGTGTATTTTGTGAAACACTAACTTTAAGGGGCTCTCTGCTAGTGAAATACTAGTAAGTATAGTTATTTGAAATTGTCATATAATTATACTTACTAGTATTTCTTCTAATTATTTCCTAAAGGTTTCGAGATGAACTTAAGATACAACAAATGTTTCTATGTATTTTTTTAATTCAACTTTGAAAGGAACACTGAACACACCTTTGACCTTGAAAAAGGAATCAATAGTTCTATAATGCACCCCTGATTCAGGGGTAGAAACTAACATATTTAGTCCACTAGTCCTTATAATGAGAACATATAGCAAAATTCTTGAAAATGGCAAATTTCTACATGTATTAGTCCTTCTGATACCTTAACTATTGGCCAGTTTTCCAAGGACTACAGGACGAGTGCCAATTTCTAACGCTGCTGATTTCAATTTTAGGATACTGCAGTTGAGAATATCATATTAAACAGACAAAAGTTGCTAGTAGACTACTAATGGGCTATTAGTTCGTCATAAGTCTGCACGCGGATGTCATGATCTAAAACAGCCTTTCAATCTTTGTTCACGGTCAATCTTAACTATGTGCATCATTTAAAGAAAGGGACATCACCCTCACAACTTGATAAACCATCTACCACTATAATCCTAAAGTGCGCAAGATTCCGATTTTCAAGTTAGACATTAAATGCCATGTACTACTGTGTCGAGTTTGAAATAATAATTTACTGTAAGATTGTAAATGTGCTTTTTTTAGGTGTAAAAAAATTGCTTTTTTAAGGAGTAAACAATTTTTTTCTGCTACAGTGGTAGTTTCGCCCCTGATAAACATGGGGACAGGAAGTGTTCGCATTAATGCACTAAAGTGTATTTCATGAATAAAAACAACAAAATATGCATGAGACATTTTAGATGCATTTTGCATTTTGGATGTTTTTTTATTTACTCAGCAACTTCTAGAATGACAATCAAACAAACATTTAAAAAGTTCTCCTTTCTTATGAAATTGCAAGAATGGTGTGTCTGTCCTTCAGGGTGGCAAATATTACAAGCATCATCAAAGAGTAATGGTAAATGATTCCAAAAGCTGAAGGTGATTCTAATAAACAGCACGACACACATAGTAGCCCAACTGTTGAAGTGACCATAGATTAAACTGTAAATGTCACTGTAGACTGTGTGTTGTCAAAGATAGAAAGCCAAAGTCAGTATTTTTACTAGGGCTGTTACGATTCACTCGGTGTATGGAACCGTATCCTTTCATGAATTGAAGCAGAGCATCAGATAAGCTTTTGGTGTTGTGGGTATTTTACCCATGCATTTTAAAATCATTGGGTATCAGTAATTCTATCTGGGTATTCAAATTTTTGTTATATACCCACTAGATTTTACACATGTGGGCATTTAAGTTAAATATTTAAAAACACAATTCATCTAGGCCCTGCAAACTGGTGTCGTGTGGGTTAGAGAGCTTAAAAGGACTCAAAAATACCATGATACTTCCAGAAGAAAGTGTGATGGCAAATGATTGTGATGTAACTGTCATCGTGGAGTTTGGCAAGGTTGACGGAATGCCCGTTTATGATTTCAAAATAAGTTGCTGATTTGCTAATCGAATACGGCTAGTTACTTCACAATATTTTGATGATACGCACAAGTTTTAATTTTGTAGCTTATCTGTAATGTTTGTTGCGTATTTGATACGCTTGGATTTGATTTTACTGCGTAGTTCTGCATTTCTGAAGCATATTTTACGCAGATACGCAGCTTATCTGGAGCTCTGTGAAAGCGTAATGGTAAATGATCTGCCAAAAGCTGAGGGCGACTCCAACAAACAGCATGACACACATAGTAGCCCAACTGTCTAAGTGACCATAGATTAAACTGTAAATGTCACTGTAGATTGTTTATTGTCAAAGATAGAAAGCCAAAGTCAGTATTTTTAGTAGGGCTGTTACGATTCACTCGGTGAATCAAACCATATCCTTTAATGAATTGAAGTCATTATTCGTGGCCACTAGGATCAAATATTTAGTAATATGCAGTCATGTACATTTACACACTCTGTACCTAAAACTATCCATGAGAACATATTATATGCATCGATTTCTTCAAAGACAACACTCTTATAATATTTAATTTGACAGTATTGTGGCCACTGGTCATTGTCACATTTGAGCAGATACTTGTACCTGGATAAGTGTATAATTGTATAATATATTAATTGTTAACAAACCATGTCAAATAATTTATGTGGTTATTGTTTTACTGAATATAACAAATAATACATCAACTGCAGACTTGTTATTGTATTCATAAATAAATATTTGTATTCGTTACCCTATATTGGTGATATGAATTGTATTCGCACCATAGCGTATTCCTTGCACCCCTAATATGGACTTATGTTACCAGACTAGTTTTTACTGAAAATTGTCGCAGCAGGAGATGCTGAAACTGTCACAAAAGCAGTGGCCCTGAAGGCATTGAATTCAGCAAGGTCGTCGGATTAGGCTCAGACGAGGACCAATGATGACACGGTGTCTGAACAAGGTTGGGGTTAAAATGAAACTCTTAAACGTGTTTCTTGTCCGCACAGGGAGCCACTGTCAACAAGTGATCCTGCTAAAAATGTCAACAATGTAGCTTCTTACAAGCTAGTCAACATCTACAATTGTTTAGAATATTCTTTTCAGCTGCTAGATATGGGCGTCTTTAGGGCTGGGAGGGGTAACTGGGCTACCCGGGTCAGGTGGTTACTGAGTAGGACCCGGGTACCCGAAAGACTACCCGGACCCGTGGTTAGTCATGTGATATATTGTTTAATGACAAAAAATATCTAGAACTCTATGGTTACACTAAAGTCACTAATGTTCGCATTTCTTTCTGACTATGCACCCATTCCTTGATATAGCTGAATTCAACTTCAGTGTATGAATGACCAGATTGCTAAATACATGTATCTAAATACGTTTTGCCAGGGCTGTGCTAAAAATGGTCCCAATCGACATTTTGAGACATCTCCTGAGACCTACAGTGGGTCCCCAGGTAGGGTCGGGTAATAGGGTGGTGGGTACCCGGGTAGTAAATTTGGACTTGTCCCAGCCCTAGGCGTCTTACAGAACTAAACAAAGCTCTATACAATGACCACATTGATAAATGTAAGTCTGTTAAGGGTATTCACCAAAACTGGCCATCTCTGTGTGTCAAGCTGGATGAGTGAGTGAGTGTGTATGGTTTTACGCCACTTTTAGCAATATGCACGCAATATCACTGCGGAGGACATCAGAAATGGGCTTCACACATTGTACCAAAGTTGGGAATCGAACCCAGGTCTTCAGCGTGACGAGCGAACGCTTTTACCACTAGGCTACCCGAACGCCCCCCAGCTGGATGAAGATTCTGTACATGGAAACAGCTGAGCTGATGGGCTTGATAACCAGACACAGCTTATAGCAATGCCCTGTTTCCTTAGAGATGTTCTACCAATCATCTTACGTCTATATGCTTGTCGTAAGCGGCAACCAACGGGATCGGGTGCATGTCATCGTATCCCAATTGTGTGGATCAATGCTCATGTTGTCAATCACTGGATTGACTGGTCCAGACTCGATTATTTACAGACCACTGTCATATAGCTGGAATATTGCTGAGTGCGGCGTTATACAACAAACAAACAAACCTACAGCGCATTACTCGACATCATGACTAAGCCTAACAGGTCCGCCAGGTCCTAATGAGTGAGTCAGTCAGTGTCAATCCACTATAAGCAATATTCCAGCAATATCACAGCGAGGGACACCAGAAATACCCAAATTGAGAATCAAACCCGGGCCTACACCGAAATGACTTGAGCAAATGCCTTAACCACGAGGCCAAGTCCAAGATTCAGCAGCTTGCTGGGAAGATGCTATGAAATATGGGCATTTATAACCTCGATTATTGTCAAACATAGAATTATGAATTTTATTCATTAATTGTGTGTCTCTTCAAGCTGCTTTTTGTACAAAGATGGATCATGGTGTTTAGCCATAAGAAGTGTTTCTTTACAAAGCATTCAAATAATTTTCAACTTAATGTACTCTTCATTTATATCACAAAAATTAATTCAGGGTTTGAAATTAACATATGATACATACACCTGCCTGAGTCAAGAACCAAGAAGGACTGATAGCATTTCCTTGTGGACTACCACTTTTACCATCAGATGGCAACTCAGTAGCAGAGAATTATTGCAGAATAGTCAGTCAAAAACTCATGGGTCTACTACACCAAACATGGGTCTTAACATGCTTAATTAGAGTTTAGTGTTATTATTTTTAACTGAGCTTACTAGACTAAAACATAGAGTTACAAGACTTGGGATTTGGACTAGTGGTTCAAGTTGGATAATGGTGAAATTAAGTAGTACTTTCTGCTAGGGCTGGGACGGGAAACTCAGGGCAAACACAGGAGTACCCGGACCCATGGTTAGTCACAAGATACATTGTTTTATGACAACAACCATGACAACAGTAAACAACAAGTCACATTTCTTTCTGACTTATATGCTTATGACAATGTTAGTTATGTATAATGTAAAGCGTTCATAGGTATGTCATGTGTAACGCATAATTCATGTTTTCTAAGGTAACCTGTTTTACCTAAGTAAGTATATTTGTCTTTGTCTTTGTATTTAGATGCAGGCATCATAAGTCCTGTCAGTTGTGTTGGTGAACGCAGTTCTCGCCCCAGTTTCACCTACAGGGGCGTTTGTTCTGATAATTAATCCTCATGACAAATAACGACCTGTGTTATTCATGAACACCCCCGGTTACATAAAGATAAAGTTCTAGTCAAAATGATGACCCCATTTCATACATGTATCTAAATACAATGTTTGCCAGGGCTCCAGGGAAACAATTCCCAACTGGACATTCGGACCCATCTCGAGACCATTTGTAGTGTGTGTGTGTGTGTGTGTGGGGGGGGGGGGGGGGGGGGGGAATGTGCATGAAAAAAATAGCCTAGTGCATGTATTTGGGGAAAGCATGAACACATCTTACATTGGCCCTAGGCCTATATCAAAGGAATGGATGCATAGTCAGAATGAAATGTGAACATAAGTGACTTGTATTATAACCAGAGTTCTAGATAATTTTTGTCATTAGACAATATATCACATGACTATAACAACGGTCCGGGTGGTCAGTCCTGTGGGTACCGAGGTCTAACTCAGTACCCAACCGACCCGAGTTACCCGTCCAGCCTTATGCCTAATACTGTCCCTAAGAAAATGCCTCACCTACCTCCACACAACACCCCGACTCCTAGGCCTATACTAAATTACCAGTTCCTAACTAGAACTGTTTCGAACTGTCAAAAACATTCCAGTTGGGTTATCTCAAGCCACGTTGGTTTTGCTGTACAGCCACGCTTACCCATCAATGCGAAGCTCCGCGTTCTAACCAGTTATCTTCGGGTGTGCACACATTCACGACAGTTCAACAAACAAACCGATCCAGTTTGTAAACGATCACAGATATAATTCCTACTGCAAACACAACAAATGACTACACTGACAGATAGAACTTGATCAGATTATACAATTACGGCGTTGTAGAGAATGCTGTAAACTGTCATGAGACATTGAGTCTATCAACAACACAGGTGCGAAATTCTTGGAGGGAATCTTGCAATGCCATTGTCAATCGGACAAAATTTCAAGTGACTTTCCAGAACTTGACCAAAGCTTACCTTTTCACAATGTAGAACTAGCTGGTGAAACTGTTTAACTCAATTTAATGGGGTATCCAAGAGAAGAACATTTCACCATGACTTAGATCCGTGACGTCACATGAACACTCTCAGCGCCACTAGATCTATAGTTTGTTTCGAGATAGTCAAATAACACGCGATATATAGTGTCAAGCACACGTGACCAATCGGATTGGATTTAAGCCAGGGCAAGTTGTGGGGACGAAACAAAAGTTCTCTAACAACCGACAGCCGCGGCCTTCAACAACCAATACTCTTCTGGTGATTACAACATACTATTATATATAACACATATGAATTCACAAAGGATCTTCTGGATTTTTCACGGTGGATTTGACCATGATGAAATTTCAACGTAAATGGCATGTGACTAACTCGCGATCGAGTTGAAACTGGTGCGCACAAATAAAGCACGGTTTCAGAATGACACATAGCATAGATAGATAATTATGAATCAGGATATATCCATGTGAGTATATATAACTGCACAGACGTAACACACATAGTCTCTGAAATGAAAATATTTTATGTAAAAAAATGTTTAACTTATGATCTAATAAAATATGCCGAGAGTATCTCATCATTAACAGATTGTGGTAATGTAGACTTGCCAACTATTATATATACTTGTATTGGCTGTATTGGATATAATATATTTGTTTCATTCCATCATGACTGAAGGCTAACGTACACCATCATCATCATTTGAAATGCTTGAATTGACTGAAAACATGTTCCTTACACAGTGCGGTAGGATATAGAGAACAGTTTTATTTGAATCATGAAAATACAGGTTGTGGACAAGTGATACTTGTACACATATTTTGCCCCCCCCCCCCCCCCCCCCCCCCCTTGATATGGTGAGATATGTTTCACAAAGGTTATTCTTGCCTAATTATTTATCTATAATTTGTCACATTCTGAAATCATACGTCATCACTAAGAACGGCATAAGGTACTTACTTAATATTGTCCCCGTTATTGGACACGGTGTGATTGAATGGTACTTCTTGAAACTGCATGCTCAGTTAATTCTTTTATATCGTTTATCCTTTTGCATTAATCACGACTATGATTGCCTGCATGGAAGCTATTACTAAAATATCATTAGCAAGGTAATGTACCCGTGAAGACCCAGGGTAGAATAGGTCTTCAAAGCAACCCATGCTTGCCGTAAATGGCGACTATATGCTTGTTGTAAGAGGCGACTAACGGGATCGGGCGGTCAGGCTCGCCGACTTGATTGATGCATGTCATCGATCCCAATTGCGTGGATCGATGCTCATGGTGTCAGTCACCGGATGATCTGGTCCAGACTCGATTATCTACAGATCGCCCCCATCATAGCTGGGATATTGCTGAGAGCGGCGTTAAACAACAAACAAACAGCAAGGTGATGAATTCGAAAATATAAGTCTTAAAAAAATAAAAACAAGAAACATATCATGAGGATAACGCAGAATGATAAATTGGTTTTACTTATGATGAGGGCAAATTAAGTTTATATATCCCCGTGTTATTGGTTTTCGGACGCTTACGAAACATTCGTAGTTTTCTCAGATTATAACAATTGTAAAACATCTCACTCACTTTCGCAAGACAACTTATTCTTAAAGACAAGCCATCATCTGAGTATTAACAATGTCTGTGTGACGTCACACGCCCCGTTATAGCGCGAGTTATCGCGATAAACGTGGCAGTCCAAAAATGGATGATATCCGAAAACCCATGATCCGTCGACAATATATATTTAGCTAACGCGTGAGAATGTAAAATGGCTCGCCTCCGACGAATATCTAACCCCGACCCGCTCAAGCGTATATATGTATCGATTTCGGTTGGATAAAGCTGTTGTTGTGACTATATAGGGCAACTAGACTTGACTCAAGGCATGGAATAGCACAAATGCTCCAAGCAGTCGTACCCTCAAGTGCAGACATACTCAAGTTCGACCTTGATAAGGTCACGTTCCAGTTGGTTTATCATCTGTTAAGATATTGAACGACTGTTGTGTAATGGATGGCCACTACATGTCTACATGTTTGAAACGCTATATTGGCAGGTGCTCGCTTGTCCTATTTGTTAATCATTGATCGATTTATATACATATGCATGTTGGAAAAAGCCTTGGCAGCATTGGCAAGTATGTTTGTTTGTTAAGTAAAGATAAGAATTTATGGATGAACAACTTCGTTAATACAATTAAGAGCGACGTTTCGGTGTAGGTTCTAACAACGTTATCAAGCAAGTGATATACAGAGTGTGGTTGGCAAGTATCTATACAAGTAGGAGGCAATGTTTATACAGTAGATATTGTTATTCTGGAGTAGAGAAGCCTGTTATGTACACACAAGGGTAGTGATGACAATCATCGGTGAAGTTAGTGATATAAACAAAGGATGAAGCCAGTGATATAGACAACGGGATTATGGCTGATTGGGGTCTTTGATGAGTTGATGGTACGCCGGGGGTATGTAATAGCCTTGGTCACGGTTGATTGACGGCTGAAGTCTTTTGATGTTGATGGCTTCTTGTAGTTTCCTGATTTTGAAGACTTTGAGGTTGGTGGTGTGGGCTGTGACTCTCTCCCACTGATATATAGAGCTGATTTAGAGTCATCTTTGGAGACTGAGCTTTGATGTTCTTTTATTCAGGTTTTGAAGGGCCGATATGTTTCTCCTGCTCCTGATGGTTCTAGCTTGTGGCTGGATGGTGGTTTCCCTGTGGCTTTAATTGTGTTCTGAATGGTCTGACTTCTCTTGATCTCGAGAACTTAGAACTCCAACTTCTAAATGCCTATCAAAGAAGTTAATGATTGTTTGTTGTTTAACGCCGCACCCAGCAAAGTAACCCCCAATTACACACACACACACACACACACACACACACACACATATACACACACACACACACTTTAATCTCGACGTCTGCCCCTAAGAAAAATAACCAATAACCAGTCCCTCAACGAATTGGGATGATATTGATACCGATAATATCTTTGGCATATTACACCCAAACTTACACTGACGGTCATCTTAAAATAAAGATAATAGCTGTTTGGAGCCACTGTTTTCATTCACGAAGTCAAGTCCATGCACGGATCGATCGTTATAAAACATCGCCACGCCCATACGGTAGTTTTCAACCGAGGTGTCTCGCCGCGAATAGCTGGAAAATTGCTGCTGTGGCGTAAAACAATATTCATTCATTCAACCGAGGTGTACAGCACATTCCGTCGTTTAGAATCTCCGAGGCGTCCTCCCGGTGTCGCGAAAAGGATTTGGTTTATTAAAAAACCCAGAACGGGTCGTTATGTATACTAGCGTCATGGTCAGGTAAGTCCACCCGGCCGCCATACCTTGTATGGCATTCGTTGGTGAAGGCGAGCAATTCATCCCTTCAACCTTCGCTTGTTTTGAATAGACCGAGTGAAATACTATAGCCTGTTTCACAAGCACACCCGCTCTGCGTCAGACACAAACACACCAGTTTTTGACCTTGAAACTAATCGATGCGCTATCTTTTGCTATTTGTATCCTGTGACCAAAACGGACGTTTTCCTGTTTCCAGCGATATAGTATTTTAAGGATTGCTTTGACGAAAGTCGTTTAATGAGGTTTCAATTGGACGGGTGTATATTCCATTTAGAGTTAAACCTGGTATTTCCGGACGGTACCGTCCCAAATGGACTTAACATATTTCCGTTAAAAGAATCCTTGTTAGTGATCAAAATCCTGTACGTTCTTGTCGGCATCGCCCGGAAAGCAGAATATCCCGACTAACGGGGTACGATCGGCAAACCTCGCCCATTTCCGTGACCGCAGAAATAACCGATCGTTAACGAGTTTACACTTTCGCTTCGCACATTGTACCCATGTCGGGAATCGAACCCGGGTCTTCGGCGTGACAAGCGAACGCTTAAACCACTAGGCTACCCGACCGCCCCTCACAGTGTGGAGACAGTGAGAGCTTCTTTATCACATAATGTAAACCATGCATGTTCAGCGGTATTAAGAAAATGGATATTCATCTCGTTAAGACAGTGGGAAATGTTTGTTTATCTCGATAAGACGGTGGGAGATGGAGATTTGTTGATGTTGCTGATGCTGTTTAGGCAAGCCGTTATACACACAATCCCATTCACAAAAGTCGGTTAGCCTGTCTCATGGACTGATCAATGGTATTTTTTCATACACCCACCCCTTCCTGTAATATGCCATAGCGCCAAATAAAGCAAGTCTAGATTTTTCACAGGTTCTGAACGTCTCTGATCTATATTATTTCCCCTTTTGCTCAGCGCTGACTGTAAAGCCATGGCTCTAAATGAAGCAAGTCTAGATTAACCATCTCCACTCTCAGTGGGGCTTCTTTTCAATTTAAATGTACAGTAAACTACGGTTATAACGAACTCGAAGGGACCACTAACTTTAGTTTGTTATAACCATAGTTCGTTATAAGCATATATACAGCATAACTATAGCAAATAGTCGGGACAAAAAAATCAGTTCGTTATATCCGTCAGTTCGTTATAAGCGTGTTCGTTATAAGCGTACTTTACTGTAGTTGCTTGTTTCTGTCAAAATTATATATTTTCAGACTAAGCGTTAGTCTAAAAAGTCAGCATTTTATGCATCATGTGTTCATCCCACCCCACCCCCATATCCACCCCCACCCCCTCCCAAATACATGTTACCTGCGACCCCTACATAACCTTTTAGTTGAAAAAATCGAACTGTGTTATATTTTCATCATTGTGGAAAAAATATAACTTTTGTTTTCTAATTTCAATAATTATGACCACTTCAAAATGGGTTAGTGGGAAACTGAGGCAAGCTCTCGGCCTTTTATTAAAAACTACGTATTGTTGTTTTGTTTCATAATTCAAATAGTGAGTGAGTGAGTATGGGTTAACGCCGCTTTTAGCAATATTCCAGCAATATCACGGCGGGGGGACACCAGAAATGGGCTTCACACATTGTATCCATGTCGGGAATCGAACCCGGGTCTTCGGCATGACGAGCGAACGCTTTAACCACTAGGCTACCCGACCGGCCCCATAATTCAAATAGCTTTACACGTGAGTCTGGAACATACGATATACGGACCCGAGTGCAAATGGTGGACGAAATACTCCACAGCGACAAGAGCCACGCCATAACTGTTACAAGAACGCTGTGTGGAGTCGAAAATCTTTAAACCATAACCGTGTTCC